AATATATTGCTGTATATGGCATAAGGAAAGGCTAAACCTATCCCATACCAACTGACAAATAGATAACCAATTACTCTAATGTCTTTAAACAGTACAACCCTCTAGTCACTGATTAGAAGTGTAGTATATAATGGAGGTAGCACTCTTCATACACTAAATTTCCAAGTTGGTTTGTAACTACACTCTCTCTTCTGCTCCATGGTTCTATTTATGTATTCCTGTGCCAAGATTTCATGTTTTAATTGCTATAATTTTAAAGTCGCTTAGGATAGCTAGAAAATCATCCTCCCCCTTAGCCCCATGTGTTTAAAAAATTATGGCTATTTACTCTTGACTTTATCTTCCAAGGGAATGTTAGAATAGGCTAGTCAAGTTCCATAAAATATCTTATTGGAATTTAGCATAGTATTGCATCAAATTTATAAATTAAAAATTACCATCTTTACCACACTGAATCTTAGAATTAATCTTTAAATACCAATTCAATAACATAACATCCTGCTACAATTTTTTTCCAACTGACATTGGGATAAAGATAAAGCTCTTCAGTGTCTAGTTTTCAAATCCCACCTCCCAAATTTGGTTTAAACTAGCCATTTCATCAAATTGATTTCCCTTATTTTTCATCCACAAAGTTTTTCAAACTAGTATACTGACTATATCCTAAATAATCCTTCATTCCCTGTGCTAGAGATGCTATGCAATTAGGAAAGGGATAAAGCAGTTACATTCTTTGTCTACACATCTTCACTTTGAAGTGCTAACATTCTGGGTCTATCCAAGATCCATCATTACCCTTTAACAAGGCAAGAATAGGTATACTTTTCCTTATTAACTTAAACAGATTTGAGTTTGCAGGGGGAAAAAAATAGAGCTTTTCTATGATTAAATAATCTATGACAAAACAGTCATCCCTCAGTATCTGCTGGGGATTGGCTGCAGGATGCCCACACCCCTGCCATAGGATACCAAAATCTGCACATACTCAAGATCTACAATTGGCCCTGTGAAAACAGCAGAACCAGCAGAACCAGGAAACTGGCATATAGAAAAAGTTTGCCCTCCGTATCTGCAGATTGCCCATCCGGAGACTATTGTTTGGTTGCAGATATGGAGCCTGCAGATACAGAGGGCAAACTGTATTTATTGAAAAAAAAAATCAGCCTGGAAGTGGATCTCCACACAGTTCAAATCCGTGTTGTTCAAGGGGCAACTGTACATTGTTTTTTTGTCATTCATGTGAAAGAGAACTTGGTGTTGAGCAACGAAACAGATAATGGGATCTGAAACTTGAGGAGGCCTCACTGGGTCCAAACTCTCAACATGCAGGAAAGAATTCATGCAGTCTTTGACATATGGGTAAATATTAGAAAGAAGTGAGAAAAGGTTAGAAGAACTGAGATAACACTACCTGAGAAGAGAAGACTAAAATTAAACTGAAAAATGTTTCAGGTATGTGTTAAAACTCGGAGGAGTAAGAAGTCTGGGAGCGGCTGCATTACAGCAAAGTCACCACACTGAGGGAGCAGAGGATCAGAAATGACAAAGGGTCAGGGTGGCCACACGAGGGTAGTAGAGAGCAGGTTAACAGAGAGACCTTGGTAAAAGTGAAAAAAAGTTATTGGAACTGAAAATCTAGATCCAAGCAGTGCTTTATACTCGGACAGTGAACACAGGGCAAGATTCTATGGTACACTCAGAGAAACAGAGGAATATCTCCCTGCTCTAAGGTGAAGAGGTCACAGGGAAAGGTAGCTAACAAACATGTATTGAGTTCTATGTTAGGAGTTTTACATAAATGTCCTCATTTGATAATCTTTACAAGCCTACAAGATAGACAATAACAATGTCTGATGTTTAACAAATGAAAAGACTGATCGCAAATGACATAAGTGGCACAGCTGGTATTTAAGCCCAGATGAGTCCACTTTCTAAATCCATGCTTTCTCACTCTTCTGCACTCTTCTGCCTTTCCAATGAGTCAGAAATGTCTCCTTGGAGCTGGGCCCAGAACCTGGTTAACTTTCTCAGAGCAGCACACACAGTCATTCCTAGGCTTTCATAGTCCACATGAAAACAAGCTATGGCCTTTTGTGAACATAGCGAGAAAACTAAATTTATCTGCATCCATTCTTGGCTTAGCCACAGGAATAGCAGCAGCAGTCACCAGCCTCACAGGTATGGGCACGCAGGCACAGCCGTCCACAAGGAAGCCCTGGGACTGGAAACTGGTGGCAAACCTCAACAGATGTCACCTTGCTGGGGAATACTACTTGCAGTGATAGCAAGCTCTGGGATTTTAAGGTTTAAAAAGATATTAAGACCAAAATGCACCACAAGAAACAGATTAAAATAATCTGAAAAGAAACAGACTAAAAACAAAAAACAGTAAAAAACATACAAGAGGGCATGGGATAGCATATCATAGCATATCATGTTCAACTCATGACCATCAGCCATAGCCTCACTCACCTACTGGACCTGTTCTGAACACAACTACTTAAGTGAAAAGGATCAGAGAAAAAGTACTAAAATGACAAAAGAACTGGCAGAAGGTTAAGAATTAGGACATTTCACCTAATGTAGAGGAGGTTAAGGGGCAATTTAATAACAGTCTTAAATCCTCTAGAGGGACATTATATAGAGGCTCATAAAAAGAAAGAGATGTCTTCTTTCATAAACCAGAGGAAACAGTCTTAAATGGCAGTGGGAGGTTTACTTTGTACCTAAGACAAAAGTTCTTACTTGTAAAAATCAAAGTGTAAACTCAAAGAATGTGATCGCTCTTCTCCAAATCAACCAGCATTTAATAAGCACCTATTATATGCCAGGTACTGATATGTGCAGTAGCCCCTAAGTACTGGCAACTCAACTTTGATCAAAGTTGACAGTGGAATTTACATTTACTGGGAGAAGGAATAAAGACAATAATAAACGAAAGATAAATTATTAGGAAAATAGCAGAAAATGACAAGTGATTGCAAGGGAATGAAACGGCCTCTCTGAGGAAGTTAATTTAGGCTGAGATGTGAAAGCAGAAGTGGCTTAGCATGAAGCAGGCAGGAGTGTTCTGGTTCAGAAGGAAGAGCCAGTGCAAAGGCATAGAATGGGAATGGCCTTGGTGTGGTGGAGATCATAAAAAATAAATAAATAAAAAAAGAAAGAGAAAAAAAAAAAAACGGATACTGTGGCTATGGGGTTACATGAGGTTAGACAGATAGGCAAAGGCCAGATTACATAGGATCTTACAAACAAGGTCAGCAATTGCTGGAGAGGAAGAGTCAAGAAAATTATATGTTGAAAGATTCAGTGATACTTTTTGGTTTTACACCTTAACACAACTGTGTTCTGATGAGCTACTTACACATATGGTTCCCTCAGGAGTTAATGAGCTCTTGTTAGTAGACCCCCCAGGCTATGGTGGGTTACTTCTCAGGATTGTCAGGGCACAGGAATCACCTGGGAGCACCTGTTAGCACTATGGTCAGGAATCTTTATTATTAAACTAGAACCAGCATATCCTAAGTATCTGTATGATTTGTAACAGGTGGCTCCAGGTAACTGTTTGGATCAGGCACAGATGGGTATGCTGGTTTGCTGGCATGACCAAGAATTTTAGAGACACACCTAAATTAAGATCTCAGCTCCACCAGTGAAGGTGTGACTTGTAGGAAGTTACAAAATTCCTGAGCCTCCTTTTCCTCATCTGTAAAATGAGAAGAATACTACCTACTAGTCATAGGGTTGTGCATAAGACTACATGATAGAGCATAAGCAAGGTGCTAAGTGCACAGTAGACACTCCATTAATGCTGAATAAATAAATACATGCATGAACATAGGAAACCTAGGCGTAAATAAAAAACTAAATATATTCACATTCACTCTTCGTAATGCTTGTTGTTTTGAGCCTGCAATGTTCCTTACCGCCAGAGAGAGCCCAAGATCTCAGAGAATGAAGGTAGGATCCTGGATAAGAAAAAAAAACCTCCACATTCTGTCTTCTACTTAGTCTTTCTTCTTCTCTTTCCTCCCATTCAATTGGCCTAGCTATTCTGACTCACCACCCCCTACCCCTTTCCCACCTCTACCCTCCCCTGAAACAGAAAAACAAAACAAAACAAAAAAAACTCACTTGGCTTTCCTCCCCCTCCAATCTGCCCTGGAGATGACCCCCAGCTGGTTGCCAGGGAGATGGTCTGGGTAACAGGTGCTACTGAGGGAAGGCTGTTTCTGTCAGGAACTGCTTAGGGTGACCAACCATCCCAGTTTGCTCAGGACTTTCCCGATGTTAACACTGAAAGTCCTGAAAAACGACTCAGTCCCTGGCAAACTGGGACAGAGCTCATAATCCTCCGCGCTTTACTCTTCAAAACCTTATGTCGCTGCACACAGTTGTCAGCATCTGTGTGCCCTACAGCATTGTCCACACTGCGTATTGGTGTCTGGGTCCTGTAACTGCATTCTGTGTGCTATCTCTACCTTACCCATAGGAGCTAAAACAGGACCACACTCACTGGGTCCTATTTAATGTCATGGTACTGGATTTGGGTCTCCAGAAGGGTCAGGCTTCTGTATCAAATGATGTGTATCCCACCAATCCATCCATCCACTACTGCCAGAGTTATCGCTCTAAAATGTAAATCTGGCACTGACATTTCCCTGCTTAAAATCCTTCCGTGACTCCTTGTCTGCAGAATAAAGAGCAATCTCTAGCATAAACTCCTTTCAAAATTTAGCTGCAACTAACCATGCTGCTTCCTGTTTTACTGTTTTTGCATACGCCATACCCTCTTTTGTAATGTCTTTCATCCCTTAAACCTGCCCCACATCTAGTCTTAAGGTTTTTCACAGATTTACTCTTTGCCTCCTCTCTTCTCTCACTGTGTCTTACACATAATTTTACTGTAGCACTTATCACATGATGTAGTGATTATGTGTTTGCAAGCCTATCTTCTCTACTGGACTATGAGTTCCTTGAAGGTAGATTTCATGACTTACTCATCTTTGTATTCTCAAGTGACTAGCACCAGACGTTGACATTTTGTTGTAGCATTTTTTAACGTCCACTTCTATTTCATGATTCTGAAAAGAAAACCATGACTGTCAGATTGGTCTTAATTACCAAGTATTTTGCATCCCCCAAATACTATCCTAGTCCCAACCCTTGCATCATCCTTCACAGCTAAAATGAGTCTCAAAAATGGAGTGGTAATTGGGAATAAGGGTAGGACCACCCACTGAATGTTTTATTTTATATATTTTTAAAAGCTAGCAGCTTATAAATTTTTTTAATAGGCTGCAACAAAACATCCAGGTCAAAACAATTTCAACTAGCACTATGCAGGCACATAGACATGCAAAAAATAAAATGAATAAATCGCCAGGCGTGTTGGCTCACGCCTGTAATCCCAGCACTTTGGGAGGCTGAGGCAGGTGGATTACCTGATGTCAGGAGTTCGAGACCAGCCTGACCAACATGGTGAAACCCCCTCTCTACTAAAAATACAAAAATTCGCCTTGCGTGGTGGCATCCATGTGTAATCCCAGCTACTTGGGAGGCTGAGGCAGGAGAATCTCTTGAACCCAGGGGGGCAGAGGTTGCAGTGAGTCAAGATTGCACCATTGTACTCCAGCCTGGGCAACAGAGTGAGACTCCATCTCAAAAATGATAATAATAATAAATAGATTTTTAATAAATAAGTAGTAAATAATAAAATAAAACAAATTAATGAATAAATTAATGATCAAGAAGTTCTGTTCCGGACATAATAACTTTTTGTGTTCTTATATGCAAACACATTTGTTTCCCAGGCATGATATAAAATTATAAGACTCTTGCTTGATTTTGTTTATACTAACAAATACATCAGAATGACACTGCTCAGAAACTTTCTAGAACTCCTATTTGGTAACTGCCTTAAGAAGCAACAAATAAATCAGCTTAAAAGTCATTTACTATTACTTTATAGCCAAGTCTTGTTTCTTATATTACACAATATGAACCACCAACTTATCCATAAGGCTTGAATCTCAAAGATGTCTGGCTATTTTTTAAATTAAAAGCCGAACACAAAGGATAAACATTCTCCACAACTGAAGTTATGCAAAGGACTGTGGCAGGTTCTAAAGTCAATTCCAAAAGTTACAAAACGTACTTCAAGTAAGTGGATGAAAATATTTGTATATTAGGATCAGTTACTTTATTTTGGGCATATTATATCAGTGTGATCACATGCACATGTAGCTACAGGGGGTATGCCAATGAAGTCTAGTTATATGCATGTATGTGCTTCTGGGAATAAAATGACTTGTCAAGCCTATGTATTTATAGATATATCATTTGGGATTACCTCAGAATTAACTAAGAATCTATACATTTTCAGTTTCTACACAAAGCACTCAGATAAATGAGATTCACGAAATATCATTCCTGCCCTCAAAGAGCACAGGAAGGAGAAAAACATAGACAAATCATTGCAACACAGTGAAAGAAGTGTAATAGTGGAGATACATATTCAATACAGTGGTAGCAACTAGCAAGGAGTGATTATATGTAGATAGAAAGCTTCAAAGAGAGGCAACACCTAATCAAAGTTTGGATGGATAAACATGAGCACAAGTTTCATTAGGCTTAATGAGATGGGCAATCCAGGTATAGAAAATAGTATGTGCAAAGACACTGAGGCATGAAACAACATAGTGTGTTTGGGAAATTACAAGCCATTTGATATTGCTGGAGCACAGAATCTAAGGGAAAGAATACAGAGATATTTCATTGGAGAAGCGACTGATAGCCATGTAACTGAAAAATGTGTATTTTGGTTTGCAGATGATTATGTGTGTCTACTGTCTTTCCATAGTACATCAATCAGCCTGTAGCTGGAGCAACAGTGACACATGTATTTATTATATTATTTTATTTTTGCCTGAATTTATCACAAAAAAAGGTCCCTGGTCTCTGCTCATATTTGTTTTACTCCCCCATTACTCTCTCACCTTTTACTAGTTTCCCTCTGCAATCTAGTTTCTAGCTCCCTTTCCCCTTGGAGCATTTCCTCCCACATTGATCTGAGTTCATCTACAGTCTCATAGGCCATTCTCTTTTCTAATATCATGCAACTCTTATCTTTCCTTCAGAACCAAACTTATATGACCTCTTCTCTGAGAAGCCTTCTTGGCGAAGTGTAATGACTGAGAATTTAGAGTATGGAGTAAGACAACCTGTATTTGAAACCTGAGTCTGTCATTTACCATCTTTGTGCTCTAAGATACCAGTCATTTTGCCTCTTCAAGCCTCACTGTCATCACCTGTAAAATAGGGGTAATGAACACTGACCAGCATGCTTGTGAATATTAAAATGGATAATAAATGTGAAGAATTTAGTATAGAATGTGACCCTTAATAGTTATTGCTAATCATAAATTTAACTTGTCTAGAAATTCTCATGCCTAAGTCATATGTATACATAAGGTGATTTAATTTGGTCGATATTTACCTTGACTTTATCTGCTTTTCTGATAAGCTGTGGGAGGCAGTGCTGCTGCTTTGCACAACTCCAATTTGAACAATGCCCCCTGGAGTTGTGCAATATGGCAACTCTGGGAAAGAGGAGGCTTTTCAGTTTGTTTCTATTTATAGTTTGAATACTTTAACTTTATAAATAAATTAATGTCTTAAAGCGTCTGTGGGGTCTCTGGGCCAGAAGATTTTGGGGCTTTTTTGTTGGTTGGTTTATATTTTGTATCACTATTTAAAAAGAAAAAAACTTAAACCAATAATAAGATGCTTTGAAGAAACTCAGTCTTTTAGATGTCATTCCAATCAGTATTAGTTAAGATTTTAGTAGAAGTTCAATTAAAAAGCATTTGTTGACAGAAAGAAGAATGAGCACAAGCCTTCAGGTCAAGTAGAGCTGGATTTGGATTCACTATTTACAAATTACATAATCTTGTTAAACCTTTGTTTCCTTGATTTGGTAAGGGAGCTAATCATTCCAGACACACTCAGGTACTTTCTGGTACTTAAGTGAGCTACTGTGTACATAAAGTACCCAGCACAAAATCTGGCATTTGGTGGGTTCTCAATAGCGGTACCTATGATCACTTTTATTATGTGCATGTTGCTGCTCTGATTGCTGGCTTAAAACTGGTTAGAATCAAGATGCTGGTTAAAACTGGCGATTAAATTCAGGTTGGTATTAGGATTAATAGTCAGAGCCTATAATAGATTAGGGTTAGGACTGAAATTACAATTCAATTAAGGTTACAATTGTAATGCATACGGGGTTATTATTAAGGTTGGTGTTAATTAAAACTGGATAATAGAAGTAAGAAGCAGTATGGAGTACTGGTTTAGCTGGGTGGAAAATTGAAGAGGAAAGCAATGTGGAAACCTATGTAGAATTTAGTGATACAGAAAACTCATACAGAGGAGAAAAAAGGGTTAGAGTACAAAGCAGAATCTGAATGGATATTAAGCCTTCTTAATTTTTTCCCTACAGGTGCTGTCATCTTCTCCCTGATGAATATGTAAAATTCACCCACTCAGGCTGAGTTCTTTCCCTTTTCCCTCCCGGGCAGGAGCAGCGTGGGGAAAGGAATGCCCAGGGCCCACACAGCTGCGTCTAGCCCAGCACCAGTGCCAGCATCACATTCCACACCCTCAGCTACCCAGGCTGTTGCTGAGTGGACAGGGGCATCTAGGAGGCAAAGCCCGCCTTCTCTCCACTCCCCTTCCCTGCTTCCTCAGATTTTCAGTGTAGCTACCAGCTCTGTAATCCCACAGACAACCTACTTCAGACTTTGTGCACGTCTCTGGGAAATGCATATGGTATGTCACAGCGTTGAGAGTGGAAAGTAACCATAGAGATCACAATCCAACATGGATACTTTTATTTTACCTATTTTCATGATGGGGTTAATCCTTGTAGGTCAATCTTTCTTTGTAAAACTATATTCCTAGTGAGGAGGGTGGGCGCCTGTAGGATGCTGGGTGCACATGTAAAAAGGGCATTGGAATGACTATAGGCAAGAAGTTATTCCAAATGCGAACATCCACATCAGTAGGAGAAACTACTTTTCACTCCGAAATATGCAAGAGTGAGGAATTCCTCAAATTGGACACTACTCTAGAGTTTTGGGAATGATTCTTCTTATCCTTCCTGCTTCCAAGGGTACTATCTCCCATTCCCCACCCAGTGCTGGTAACCCTTCTGCCAGCTAGCTGTATGAACACAGAAAGTCATTTAGCTTCTCTGAGTTCCATTTTCCTTATCTGTTCAACAAGGGGTATTAATTAGATAATCTTGAAGGTCCCGTACAACTCCAACATTCTTTTATTGTATAATTCTAAAAGCCAGTGACTGTTTCCTATTCCCAGGACTTAAACTGCTGCCAAACTGATGCTGATGATGCAGAAAGGAGAAGAGGAGCCAGTAGGAAAAGAGCATTCCAGAGTCTCATATGCTAACTCTTAATACTCTCTCCAAAACAGCTTTCCTCCTTACCTCTCACCCTTGGTTCTTGTCATGCAGTTACAGTAGAGAGTAGGGCCAGACCAGCAAGTATTACAGAATTAAGGGGGTCAGGCAGAAGGGGATCACTGCAGAGCAGCAGATGGAAAAGACAGATTAATTAGAAGACTATGAGACCTAATCCTACATCCTGCGCTCCCTATCCCACCCATCCCCACTCTCACTCCCCTCCCCCTCCATTAACCTGTTCTCTCTTAAGTCCACTTAGATGATCTCTAAGATGTCTTCTAGCTGCAAAGATAATACTCTTTATCCACTAAGACCCTTTAACTAGGGTAGCCTGATCTTTCCCTTCTGAATCTGATTTCTGTTTTGAAAACACCCACATTACTGCCTGATCTCTGCATAACTAACTTCATGCCAACATGGCCCCACCTCTGTGGGAAAGTTCAATCTTTCCCACATCTCTCCCCTACCCCCTAGCCCAGCCTCTTCTCTCTCTTACATTCCGGTTTCCACACCCCTCAAATATAGTACCCCCTTTATTTTCATCTCTTGGAGTTTCTAAGATATCAGCAAACCCTAGGGAGACAGAATGGTCTGGAGCCACTGAGATATGTCAAGTCAGGCAAGTCAGACAGCCAAAGATGGTCAACACTTCCGTGCAAGAAAATCTTAACTATCCAGGCACTCAAGAAATGTCCAAGAGGCAGGCAGAACTCTTCTCCCAGAAACCATCAACTCTAACAGCCATAAGAGAAAAACTGTGGGGCAGCATCCTGACAATCTGGAAGAATTTCCCTGGGGAATATTCTCTCCTGACCTCCCATAATTGCTTGTAATTTATATAGGGCTTTACTGGTAACCAAGTACTTTCCACATCCCTGCCCTTGAGTTTCTGGGTGACAGAAACATTAACTACATCACAGGGGGCTGAAAAACTCTGTTTTCAAGAAGGAAAGATTACCCAAACATTAAAGATTAGCCCAGTGAGACAGTCATCAGTCCAGAAAGAGAGCTGGTCTAAGAGTTAGAAGACAAGCACCCAAATCCCTTATCTAGGGATAAAATATTAGCCTCACAGGATTGGAAGACACTTTAAAATCATATTGTTGCACATCCCAGCCACCACTTGTGTCTTCTACTGTTAACTGTCAGTGTAACCTTGGTTAAGTTAGCCTCCTTTGAGCCTCAGTTGTACCTATATAATTAAGGGGTTGGAAGAGCCATTTTCTAAGAATTCTTACATATCTAAAATTATTTTATTCTAGAATTCTAACATTTAGAAATGTATTTCCAAAAGCTAAGTTTCAGCAAGACTGATTTAGAAAGATCCCTTTCTGAGATATATCAAGACTCTTTCAGAGATACTCAGTCACAAAGAACGGCAAACACCAGGGATTTGGGACACTTAAGCCAAGACCAAGCGCAAACACCCTGCATCTCTCATTGTGTCCGGAATTGGTGGGTTCTTGGTCTCGCTGGCTTCATTCCGAGAGCGAGCGAGTGCTGCTAGCACGTTGTCACCTCTCATCATCTTGTTATATCTGGCCTCAGGAATGAGAGTTGCTTTGGTCACAGATGCAGGGGTCCTTAGAGGGTTTCTAGATCAGACTCTTCATCCATGAACCTTACTAACTCAAACTTGAGATGGGCAAGATCCTGCAAAAGATCAAGAAAGAAGAAAAAATATTGGAGAAAAGGACTGGGGGTTAAAGGGATAGAATAGGGAGGGTTAAGAAAGAAAACGACTGAGTTGCTTTGTTAGGCTGCCAGATTGGGCAAGAGTCTGGGGTGAAATCATGTTTTCAGAGGGTGAGTTGTTTCCTTGAGTGAGATTGAGGGAGACATTGGTTCCCAAGGCTTGGGAGTTTGCTGGAAGATGCCTTTCAAGGGAGATTGCCTGGGGCCACGAATTCTTGCTGGACAGACAACTATGGGCTCTTGGGTAAGAGGAATTAGGGATGTTAGCGTTTAGGAGAATGATGAGAGTTAGCAATTATCCACTGGACAGATGTCTCTGGGTACACTGTTGATAGGGGGACCCCAGGGCTTAAGGCCGGGGGCCACAAATTGTTGCTGGACAGATAACTATGGGCTCTTGGGTAAGAGGAATTAGAGATGTTAGTGTTTAGGAGAAAGCTGAGAGTTAGTAGTTATCCACTGGAGAGATGTCCCTGGGTACATGGTTGGTGGGGGACCCCAGGGCTTAAGGGGATCCCCAGTTGCCAAAGGATGGAGGGCGGAGCTGGAGGATCTCAGCCTAGTGGGCACGCCCTTGTCCAGGCCTGCAGTGGCCGTGCTCGCCAGCTGGCCCATGGCCCTGTCCGACTCCCCTCCCTCCACCCCAAGCCTAAGAGGGGTGAGCGGGGGGTCCCACTGCTGAGCCAGGTCCCTCCCTCTGATCCACACCCGAGCCCGGCTGGCAGAGCTCCCGGGGGAGAGGGTGGAAGGCACCACGAAGGCAAGGAGGGGGTGTTGAAGGTGGGGGGAGTGGGGAATGCGGCAGCCTGCCCCCCCCGCGACCAGCCCAACCCCCCGCCAACCCCCCTCTACCTCCAACCAAATGGTTTGCTCCGAGCGCCCTATTTAATCCCCGCGACTGCAGCAGCGCCGGCTCCCTCCCGGTCCCCACCTCGGCCCCGGGCTCCGAAGCGGCTCGGGGGCGCCCTTTAGGTCAACGTCGTAGTCCACCCCCTCCCCATCCCCAGCCCCCGGGGATTCAGGCTCGCCAGCGCCCAGCCAGGGAGCCGGCCGGGAAGCGCGATGGGGGCCCCAGTCGCCTTGCTCCTGCTCCTGCTGTTCGCCTGCTGCTGGGCGCCCAGTGGGGCCAACCTCTCCCAGGACGGTGAGTGAGGGAGGGGGCGGCGCCTGGGGAGGAGGGGAGTGACCCGAGGCGGGGGCTGGGATCGGGAGTCTGGCGGAGGGAGCCTGTTGGCTTTGTTTGGAACCGGGGTTAAAGTCACCAGCCGCTGCTAATACCCTTGTGTCTGTCTCTGAGCATCCGTGTCTCTGTGGACTGTGGGTGTGCCGGCGTGTGCACCCTTCTGTGTACACCACCGAGCGTGTGTCTGCGTGTGCACCGGGATTTGGCTCTCGGGGCTGATGTCCGTTAGGAGCAGCCCCGGGTCTGGATGTGTTGCTGTCCGTGTGCGCGCGCGTCTGTGTTGGTGTCTGGCTCTGCGTTTCTGTGTCAGTATCTGTGTGTATGTCTGTGTCAGTGTGTGTTGGGGGCGGAGTGAGATTTGTCGCTGTTTCAGTCAGGGCGTGTGTCGGGTGTTTGTGTATGTATGTCTGTAGGGGTTGGGTAGCCAGTGCAATCCCCCAAACTGCTGTATGCAAACATTTCTGCTCCCCCGCCCGTCCCCGCCGCCACCCGCGGCGCAGCTCCGAGTGGGCAGAGAAGGGGGTCTGGGTGAGGCTGCTGAGGGGGGCGTGGGCAAAGAAGGGGGCCCTTATCCTTGGAGCAAAACAACAACACAGGGCGGAGGGGGCCCAGGATGGCAATATCCCTGGCAGTGGTAGAAGCTGGGAAAAGAAATCCAGACAGGAGCAGAGGCGGGGTGGGGGTGGGGGGGGAGCGCAAAAGAAAGAATCAAGATATTTGGGGAGGAGGATGCATTAGACACCCAAAGCTTTCCCGGGCTAAGCACTGATTTTCCCAAATTTGGAGTGGGGTAGCATACCTAGCCCCTTGGCCCCAGTCTGGAACTCAAACCACCTTCGGTTCCTAATGGTAGAGAGATGAAGGAAGGGAGTCGGGGGAGAAAGGAGGCGGGGCCAGGGGTGAGGGGACTTGGGGAAGAGCCCCTCCCGCCCTGGGCCGGGCTATGTAGGTCAGCGCTGTGGGGGCACCTCAGCTTTCTTAAAGGCTACTAACGGTTAGTGGGATGGCAGAGGGGCAGCGTGTAGGGAAACCCGGAAGGGGGCCACCGCTCCCAGCCTCAGGTCCCTGAGGAGGGAGGGCCGGCTGTGAAGAGACTAAAGGAATGCATCCTCCTCTCCCCGCGCCCTGTTGGAAGAGGAGGAGGGCTGGGATGGAGGAAGGGGGAGAGGGAACAGGACCTCTGTGGAGCAAAGGGAAGTGGGGAGAGTGAAGGGGGAGGGTGGTGGCTATGCCCGGCCAGATGCCAACGAAAAACAGAAAGAACCGCAGGGGAGGAGAAAGGGGAGGTGGCTCCTGGGCGATGGACCCAGTGGCCAGCAGGGATGGGCACAGGGCGGGGCGGGGGTGGAGAGGGGAGGGGTTGAAACTGGGGAGGATGATGTAGAGAATTTCATCTGAGGAAAACAGGCGAAGAGCCAGGGTACTGGAGGAATAATCGCTCTACCTCGCCTGACCTCCCTCAGACCTGTCTCCATCGTGATAAAGGAGCTTCCCTGCTATGGGGACCCTGGGGATCCCCTCCCTATAGTTGGCTGGCTGACTCCTTCCGCCCTCTACCCATCAAACTCCCCAAAGGGAGTTCCCGCCCTAGTCACCACAGAGACAGCAGCCTCTCCTTTCCCCTACGCGGAATCCCCTTCCCCAGAGGACTGCACTGACGACCCCACTCACTGAGGAGCTGAAGGGAGTCTTTGGGGAGAGCAGGCTAAGTGCAAGACAGAGAGGCTGCTGGGTGTTTGTGCCTCACTAATGACCCTCCTACTAGGCCTCGACTTTCAGCTGCAGCCCCTGGCCTTTCTAACCTGCTGAGTTTTATAACGAGAGGCAAATATGATCCAAACTGCAGCCGTTCAGCAATGGGAACTGATGGTGCTAGGCTGGGCCCCAAAAAGAGAGAAAGACGTCATCCAGAAAGCTGTGAGCTCTTCTACTCTAAGATGTAAAAAAACTATAGACTAGAGTAAATCAGTATACTAGCCAAGTCTTTCTTCACTGACTACACTCTTCTTTCTTGGTCCTCAAATTGGGGGCTCAGCCCCTATTCAGGCTTAAAGTTGAGAGGAAGAGAAATGTTATATCCTCATATTTAGAAATATGTTTCAGAGCAGTGGCCTGAGAGAAACAGTGGAAAGCAGTAACTTCTAAATGGGGAATTTCCAGAGGAGAGGTGGGGAAGTGGGAGATGAACAGGAGGGGTCTGTTTCCAAAGAAGAGTCAAACCAAGCATCATTTTCCTTGGAGAGCATTATCTTCACAGATAATGGACATCTGTTTGGTGTGCAGTATCTCAGGACACACTGATGCATGAGACATAACCACTATATCTTCTATCTTAAATTAATTCTATCTTTTAGTTTCTGGATCTAAGAAGGCCAGTGCTGATGGTGGGAGGTAAATGCGTAGATTTAATGCTCACGGATAGTAATCCTGAAGACTATTTTGCACAGGATCATGGACATGTGTCTAGTACCCCTGAGTTGGCCTGGGGCCCCTGGGAAGAAAACTAGGCAATATGTACTTAACTGGTAATGCTTGACCAAAACTATGAGAGATATGGTGTGAAGGTTTAAGGACAAGATACTCTTATGCTGATGCTTGAATTGTCAAGGGTGTTGTGGTAGCATATCTTTTCCCATTTAGAATAAGGAAACAAACTTAATGTGCTGCTGGGGCATATCGTCCCCTGGGGCACAGCATAAATTTCTTAAGCTTCATAAGGCTGAACAGGGATTGAGAGGGCAAGCAACTGATATCTAAGACTGGCCATGAGAGTTGTGCCAACAGTTCAGGAATAGGTAAGACATTTAGAATGTCCCATCTGCCCTTCCTTCTCACATTTCTCCACTAGTTTTCACTGTGGTTGACAAGTCTAGCTTTGGAGGACTCAAGTCTATGAACTTAATGTGTCCTCTCTCTGGTGAACAGCTCAGTATTCAACACTGTGACCAGCTTTCTTGGGCTCTTCCTTCTCAAGTTATTTCCAGCACTCTGTGAATTGACCTAGGGTAAAGACAGATAGACGGATAGCCTCTCTTTGTTTCAGATAAGTTTATAGCAATTTAACCTTGTACTGCGCTGCCCCACACATGAACATCTATTTCTTCTCAATGACCTCTGTCCACTATCATTCATTCTACAGCCCCCTGGCCAGATGCCCAGTGAGGACATCATGCCCAATGTGCCAGAGAAGTCCAGCAGGCATTCGCTCTAGTGCTGTCCACAGATCTGTTTGGCAGATCGACTCCATCCAGTCTCTGTTCCTAGTTGCAGCTGTAACTGTTCTGTTTCTGTTCCTGTTCTCCTCCTAGTTGCAGCTGTAACTCTTGGGAAGGATATGCTCTCCTTTTAGACATGTGCATCTTCTAGCACGGAAAAGTTAAGACCATCACAGAGACACTCATATAGCAGAGTTTAGTTAACTCCATGAAAATCAGTGTGTTTCATGTAGGTCCTCACCTATGTAATGTCAACTGCCTACCCAGCAGTTATGCCACTCTATTCTAAGCTTCTCCATAGATCTGGATAGCACTGCTGGTTTTAATAGTTTCCTCTAGGGCAGGAGTTTTCCCATTTTGTTTTTAAAACAAAGATGTGAGACATTTTTAACAAATGAGAAAAACATATCAAAGGAGAACTGCTGTTGTTGAAATAGTGAAGTAAGACCTATATCCCTTTTCCCTGTCTTACTGGCTTTTACACATTCCTATAATCCTTAAGGAACTACCTGGGGTTCTGCCACACAGTTCAAAATCCTCTGTCCTAGACTGACAGAATGAGCCAGCTTACTACCCTTAGGCTCTTTCTCCTTCCTCTTCCAACTGAAGAAGAAAGGAGGTCCAAATCTAATTGCAAGAGTGCCTTGTTGGAGATATTCACTACTCACTTGGAGAGAGTGACTCATAGTTCTGCAGCCATAAATTTCCACAGACAGCATCTCTTTGGCGTTCTGGTTACTTTGAAATAATTGAGAGGTTGTGCCATTGCTCTGTAAATTCTTAGATTTGGTTTTGGTACTTCTTGATGTTACTACTTTCTTGCAGTCCAAATAATATGTAAAATGGGATCAAAAGTTTATTTTCCTTAAATCACATGGTAGGAAAAAAATCTTCACAAATATCACCAGAGAAAGAAAACCCCTGGGGCTGTGACTAGTCTTATTCTTTCTTATTTCCTACTCCAGTGGAACTGCATACTGGCTCAACAATCCCTTTTTTGTCATCTAATTCTCTGTAATAGTGTTTTACCTAAGGATGGTGATCTAGGTTCCAGATTCTTGTTGAAAGCAAGCTGTGGACTGGACCAGTTCCTTACTGACTACTGAATGAAAAATTCAAAGTTATTATAAAGTTTTGGTAATTATATCTTCTTTTATTTTTCATGTTAGAATGTAATGTTTCGTGTTTAACATTGACCATAGGCCCATGTACTAGAATATTTTGTTTCCTGTATGAGGTCGTGTTTTAGAGGTCCACCCTTAATCTCTGAGAATAGCAATTCCCGTGGAAATGCTTACAAAAGACAGAGGGAAACAAACCATCAGAAAAGGACCCTGGAGAAGCAAGCCATCAGAAAAAGATTCTGTTTCTAAGAACTTGCTCAGATTAAGTATAAACACTCCATGTCATCATAAAATGAAGAAGAACAAGTTTCCAGGGCTAGAGACCTGTTTCTGCCTCTAGGATCAGCAGCAGTGATCATTTTTAACAAGGTCAGAACCAGCTGGTGCCCGGGGCTCCAATAACTACCCAAGTAGAAACCCAGTCCAATTCTGTTATATATGACAAAGAGATCCATCCCTTCTAGTACAGAGAAGTCAAGCTCTCAGGAGGCTTGAACACATGAATCTGTTGGGATTTTTACGCAACAGAAGCTAAGATGCTAAGAAGTAAAGGTACATACTCTTCACTGAAGCAGCAAATACTAAAGAATCATTTCTCTCTTTACCAATATTTTCCTAACCC